TATATATATATATATATATATATATATATATATATATGACATGACAATAATACCTTGTTTATAAAGTCTGTGGATAAGATGAATAGCTGTCGTTTGTCTGAGTGGAGGGATTTATAGCCTCAAACAGAAGTTGGTCAATAATAAATTCATGAAAAGCTTTCAATCAACATACATGGTCCGTGCAGTTCATTAGCGTCAATTCATATTAATGCCAAATCAAAAACAATATCGCTCAAATAAATACAATTTAAAGGGGTAATTGGTTTTAAATTTCTATATCGTAATGTGACTATTTTTGAAAATATATAATGCGGTGTTAAGTCTCACATTGAGATAATATGGAAAATATTAATATGAAATTTAAGTAGAGATCACGATACATGCAACTTAGATTATTTTAATTTTGCTGATTTTTGTGATGTGAAAATTTTGGGTGGTTAAATATAAAATAAAGTTTAGGTGTTATATATTCAAATATATAGGAGTTTGATGGATGCCGCTCGACTGATGTGACTCTTTAGTTGGCATTTGCGAAGTCAATTATTCAAGCCCACCTGAGTGCATCAGCCGTACAGCGCATGATCGAATGACCACACACATAAGTATGGCAGGTGGCTCATATCATAGAATAAGAAACTACATAAAGAACATTAATGGAATGGATTAAGCAATGCCTTATTCATCCAAAATTTCACCTTAAATCAATATATTCTTGATAAGAAAATAAGTTATGTAAATTAAAATTCATAATTTATGTTACAAATTTATCTGATCAAAACATTGCTTAAATAGACATCATTTACGCGGACAAATAAACCAAAAAATATGCCATCGATTGCCTTCCATAAACAAAAGATATTCATGAATGTAATTTTTCTAATTTTCTACATAACCATCCATTAAATAATGTTAACAGCCACCAAAATCTTAATATAAATCTGTCAAACAAACTTTTATGTAAAAATTTAAAAAATAATAAAAAAAAAGAGACTACATAAAGAGCAATATCAGCAGCAGCGCCACCCATCACATTCAGTTCGTTGTGGTTCAAGACAAGTGCCCGTGCTTCTAGTTGCAAAACAAATACAGCTCTTAATACATTCCAAATTATCTACTTCAACGAAAAAATAGGAGGGGCATTTACAAGCATGGCACACAATTCTTATGTATTTACATAAATCACACCTAAACTTTCATATTTACACACATGACACTGACACTCAAATCTTCTAACATCACATTAAAAATAGCACTAATACACATTTTGATGCATAAATATCAAAGATTAGGCGTGAGATATGTAAATACATAAGAATTGTGTGCTGAGCATGTAAATTTCCCAAAACAGAAGTATGGATTAAAAGAATTTCAGAAAGATGAAGAAGAAGAAGAACATGGCAGGCGAAGGTTCAGTGAATCACTGCTTCATTTCTGTATCTGAAACATCAGTGTTGGGCAGCTGATGTGGTTTTTGGAACTGCTGTTGAAGTTGGAACATTAGAGGCTTCAGTTGAATTTGCTGGTTTAAGTTGACGGAGAGTGGTTCGCCGGTGGCAAGTTTCAGGCGCTGAACCTCCGCGGATAGAGCTTCATTCAAAGCTTAGGATTGAACAAAATGAGTCAGATTTTGTTTTACAGATAAAAACACTTTATTACATGCAATATTAGATAATAGGACTGATAAACAAGTTAAGGATGCAGTTAATATGGTTCTACTTTATGATGTTAAGCCATGTGAAAGAATCAAGAACAAATGCTGGAATATAAAAAAGATTAGCCTGAAAAGAGAATTTCAAAGCTTCACGTCAAAAGTTCAGAACTTGGTGCACAATGCATAACTATATCAAAAGTCAAATCTTGTATAAGGTACATTTCTAAATTTCGTTCTTTTACAATAGATTTTTGTATAGCAAAGTGTTTGTAAAATTAATTAATATTTTACAAAGGAAGATAGGTGGCATTGGAAGCGAAACACTGTGTTTTACTAAGAGAATTCATGCTGAAGCAAAACTAGATTATAAATCATGGTATGATTGATCTAACATAGATGCCAAAAACCATATCGGCTAAAGCTTATAACCATAAAGGAGTAAAACAAAGCAGAATCAAATAAATAGAAAGCACAGCTAACGGGCATGATTTCATAAAAAAGAAAGTTAAGCTCATATTTTTTATCGTGCACAAACTTCAAATTAGATAAAATTAGAGTACTTTTTTACAAAAAATTTTTCTATTTTGCAGAAATGGCTTGAAATGATAAAAATTTAGGTAGAATGATACAATCAAGGAGTTGTTTAGTGCACAAATATTGCTATGTAATGTCATGTTATATCACTTAGTTTGCAGACAGTTTTAAACAACTTTCATACACATGACACATGAAGCCGAAATCAATGGCATCTAGATATCAACAAAAGATGAAGACATGTTTAGATGTTCCTGAGGTTTTCGAAAACCTCGCAATATAGTCTAAAAAATGACAGAGAATCAGACGCATAATAATCGAAAATTAACATTGCCAACTGATAACACTGACAGCATAATAATTCCATAATCGGATAGTCCGTAAGAAATAGATTTAATCGAAGTTATAAACCTCCTTATAGTGGTTATATCATATATGAATGTGTAATATAAACAGTTATGGTTGTTTACTGGCAATTCATAACCACTAAATTAAATCATAAATGTATTCTATGTGGTGAAGAAGTTAGATATCAATCACATTCTTGACTAAGCTTCATTCATACTATCGAGTTACTAACATGTTGCATTTTTTGATATCAAATAGTCATAACCACTACCATAAAGATGCATTATAAGAAAAATAAACATTAAGAGGATGCATATTAACAGATTTTACTAGGATTTTAAGTTAAATCTTGCCAGACAGAAAAAAATGATAATTTTAAATTCAGAATTTAGTAGAATAGGCCGCGTCTGCTATTATGTCTTTAGCTATGAGCAGAGTAAGAAATTTCTTTAATGAGGGCACAAATTAACAGCTACCAAAAAAATCATGAGGTCATGATTAATTTAATCAAGATTTTTATAATCAAATATTAGGTTATTCATGACTTCTAAACTTAATTAATCGTTAGAATAATGCAAATAAAATATACATGATTATGTTACATCGCCATCAATGCTTTAAAATAATATCATGTGAATGTTACTTAAAAATATTATTATTAACTTTAAGCTATCAATTGATTAAAGTTCATAAAATTAATTAAATTTTAATATAACTTTTTTAAAAAAATTAATTATAAAATAGTTATAAATAAATATATATACATATGATTAATTTGATAACATAATTATTGATTATTTATTAATTATACTAATTAAAATTAACTTGAAAAATAAATTAAATTTTAAAATCTGTTATCACCTTTTCGCCTCTTTAGCCCGCAAATCTCACCCGCGTCACTTACCTTCCTCTTACTCCTCCAGTTGTGCCTAAAAGGTCGAAACTGTCACAGTAAAAATGTGCCTGGAGTGTTCTTGGAAGGCAATGGCTGGAACGCAACATACAAAGATATCTTGTATGTCCACCCTTTCCACTTTGCTCCTACCTGACTAACCCTTATCTTTCTCTTCCTTCCTCCAAATTCACTTCACGCATTTCAGCTCCTAAATCATGTAAATGCAACTTCCAACAGGATTTACTAATCTTGGATATAATTCAGAACGGAGGAGAAATGGGATTTAAGATCATGTAGGATTTAAAGTTGTCATTTTGCTGTTTGGCAAGATGTAGGTAAAATCTTTCTTAAATCTTGCTAACAAATGGATCCAACAGTTGATCTTGAGGCGGTCCAATGGGGGCATAAGCCCAGAATGCCCGCGGCTCCACTGACTTTGGCCCAAGCCAGGAGTGCGATATGTAAGTGAATGCAAAAGCAATTGAACAGCATATCCAAATATGGTGAAGTTAACAAATTAAAATGGTAATATTCTCAAAAGTCTCTCTAATTCCTAAGACTACTAAAAGATCAATTGGTAAAAACCTCTTTTAAGTCCCTATGAATCCCAAAACTAATAATAAAGTCAGAAACAATCTATGAAGCATAACTATGAAAATTAAGGTGAAATTTTGCCACCAATACGTACATAAATTTAACATGACATACAAGAAAATTTCATAAAAGTTGTTAACCTAATAGAAACTGACTCAAGTGGAATATGCAGTTTATCATTATCATCTTTCGCTTGTATTGTTAAAGGAAAACCTCCATAACCAAATAACAGTTTTTGTACAAAAATGAGAAAAACAGATCAATAAACAACAGAAATAGCAGTAATGGGCATCTACATATATACAGCACGATTCTTATGTCATTACATAACTAACACCTACACATTCATATTTACATGCAGGCCACTCAAATCTTTAACATCAAATCAAAAATAACTCCATCGCCATCTTTTTAAGAGTGAAATACACATTTTCATACATAAGCTTATGACACCAAGGTGTTATAAGTGTAAATATCAAACTTTGGGTATTACAAGTATAAAAACATATGAATTGTGCAGCATATGTTTAAATTTCCCCGAGTTGTATAGTTTATTGGAGCAACATGCCTCATGATCATTGAAGATAACCAAAGAAAAAAACAAAAAAATCTCTGCCGGTTTTCTTGTTTGGTGGAAAGAATTACATTTAAAAACCTTCGTACAAAACGACTAGTTAACAGAAAAGTACCATCTCTAAGCTGTGCTTGCTGCTCCATTGCTTGCAAACGAAACTTCAAATGATTATTCTGAGAAGCGATTCCAGCTGAGTCTCTCTACAAAAAGACAAATACAGAATTAGGTGAATATCTACAGTCAAATCAATGTTAAATTATTTCAAAATTTTCAAATCGCCTACTAACAGTCATAAACCAATATATCCTAACAACAAGATTTTGCTGAATCACCTGTAACAAAGTCAGCTGAGCTGACAATGTGGTTGCTTCTGTTTGTAAAGTTTGCACCTTGTGTTCCAGCTCTGAGATATAACGCATTTTTCGTTCCTTGGAACGAGCAGCGGATTGGCGATTTGCTAATATTCTGACAAATCAATAAAAGAAAGAAATTTGGTAGGATCATGAGCTCTATGCTCTAGAAGATGACAAATGAGAAAATTTTAAGTACCTCTTAGCTCTTTTAGGATCAGTCATTGCTATCTCTGCAAGTTTTTCATTAGCCATGATTTTCTTCATCTCGGCACCACTAAACTCCCCATTCCCAAACTCCAAGCTGAATGTGCCGGACAACCCATCGATTGATCCGCTACGCGAATGCTGACCAGGCTTCGCTCTGGGGGAAGGTGGCAGCTTTGGTACTTCCTCGCCAAAATTCAACCTTCCCATAAAGCTATCCATTGAAAGACTCCTACAATGTCTGGGCGCCATCTTGATCGGAACGGGATCTCCGACTGCACTTCTCTTGTGCCCCTCCTTCCTATCCATCATTCTGCTCGGACACTCATTCATACTGCTCTCAGCTTCATTCTCACTGCTTTCTGCACCATTCGTCTTAGAGCCACTAGCCTTGCTGTCTAAGTCATCACGCTTCTCTTCAGTGCCTGAAGAGTTGAGAGTGTCCAAGCTGTCAAGATTCATGTAAGCGCTGATGAGATCATCTCCTGCATCTCCCTCAGATTTTGGATCACTATCACCATCTCTATCACATTCAGCTTCTTGCTTCACAAATTGAGCCTGGCGCTTACCCGATCCCAGCGGAGGGCTTTCTTTAGCCACCGACAAATGCTGAGGCAGCGGTGGGAGTCCAGATATAGGATTGAAAGATTGTATAAATGCAAAAGGTATGTCGCTCTGTGAACGCCTATGCGCTTTGCGCGGCGGGATCCCTTCAGCAACGGCAAGATCTCTTCTTGCAGGCGGGAGCGGAGTTTGCCGGGTGACTGAAGCAGCCGCGGAACAGTTCTCCATGTTTGCATCGATGGGAGCCGCCTGGTCGGTAAAAGGTAAATTATTGAAAGATGGCAGCGAATCAAAAGAGAAGAAGGAAGGCTGAGAGAGCGAACGAGAATGGGAAGGCAAAGGACTCAAGTTCGCCGGAGATGGCGGTGCGGCGGCACCGCCGGTGGCCGCGATCTGGGAGTAAGGTGAGGTAGGGGGGAATAATGGATGAACAGGCGGGATGCCCGGGCGCTTGGCTGCTTCAGGAATAAGGGCAGGAGGGTACTGACGGTAGAATACGTGGCCACCGGCCGTCGATTCCGATCGGCCAGGGAAATTGGAAGGCGGGGAAGAGGATTTCGAGTTCGGAGAGGTTTTTAAACCGTGCATCATATCGTTGCGTGATTCCTCTACTTCCTCCATGTAGAAGAAGGAAAAGAGAAAGAAGAGAAGAGTGAAGCTTTGGAATGGAGTTATTGAAAGGGGTCGGAAAGGGGAAGAGGAGTGCAGACAAATGGAATGCCGGCGGAGGTTGCCTTGGGTGGGGATTGCGCCAAATGTGTGATGAGTAAAAGGGCATAAAGGCGGTAACGTTGCTTCGAGAGGGGGGCGGAGCAGCCGAAGCGCTTTCCCTTTGCTGGAGTGTGTGCTCGAGCTCTCTGCTTCGTTTCTTCCAAATTCGTTGTTTTCTTCTAATCGCCTGCGATTCTTCCGTGTGGCCGAGGAGGACCCCTCGGTTTGCGCCCTCTTTCTGTGGAAATCCGCGTGAATTTAAAGAGGATTTCAACGTCATCTCATTGCAGGTTTCATTTGCATTTCATTTCGTCTGTCCATATCTGTTTTAACCTCCTACGTTTTGAATTTATTATTTACATTTACTTTGTTTATATTAGACCGGTAATGGGTTCAGCCGCTTTGAAGTAACTCCGGCCGGTCCAGGGCAGACCATCCAACATGACAAGGGGAGTTTTGCAGATGAGACATGTCTTATTTTGTAATTTTCTTCGAAAACAAATAATCGCAATTATTATCAATTAGAGTTTTTATGCATGGCAATTTTATATAATTTGATCACTGTTCTCCTAAGAAATTAAAAAATTGCTCAGAAATGTCCCACCAATTGTGCCGAATCATGCTCATAACTACTATATATATATATAAGATAG